TAATACTAAATGACTATCTTGAAATAGATACTATGAAAACTCAACTAACAGTGATTTATTCAATTAATTTTTTTTGTTGTTGTTAGTTGCGAAGTCGTGTCCGACCCATCGCGACCCCATGGACAACGTTCCTCCAGGCCTTCCTGTCCTCTACCATCTTCTGGAGTCCATTTAAGCTCACGCCTACTGCTTCAGAGACTCCATCTAGCCACCTCATTCTCTGTCGTCCCATTCTTCTATTGCCCTCAATCTTTCCCAGCATCAGGCTCTTCTCCAGTGAGTCCTTCCTTCTCATTAGGTGGCCAAAGTACTTGAGTTTCAACTTCAGGATCTGGCCTTCTAAAGAGCAGTCGGGGTTGATCTCCTCTAGGACTGACCGGTTTGATTGCCTTGCAGTCCAGGGGACTCGCAGGAGTCTTCTCCAGCACCATAGTTCAAAGGCCTCGATTCTTTTGCGCTCAGCTTTTCTTATGGTCCAACTTTCACAGCCATACATTGCAACTGGGAAAACCATGGCCTTGGTACTTTTGTTAGCAGGGTTAGACAATTGTAATAGAATTATCTCTTATACCCCACAACACATACTTTTCTCTTAAGAGGCAGTGCAACAATATTTTATCTCCTTTTATACATTGTTTATATATTGATTATATTGTACACTGCCCAGAGCCCCTGTCAGATGATGATGGATGGATGGATGGAGACATAGATAGGTAGGCAGGTAGGTAGGTAGGTAGGTAGGTAGGCAGGCAGGCAGGCAGACAGACAGACACTATGAAATTTAGAAAATTGTAATAGAATTACCTCTTATACCACACAACACATACTCTTCTCTCAACAAACAGTGCAACAATATTTTTATCTCCTTCAGAGAACCATAGTTAGAAAAAAGGCTCCTATCACAACTCTATGCTGGTTCCTTTATATTCTTCAAAAGTGCTGGTTCTCTTCAAAATATAAGTCACAACTCATATAAGGTCACCATATTTACTCAACCCTAGGACTCTTGTTCAAGATTAAGTCTTTAAGATTAGGCTCATAGGCTGCACTTCCTCATAGTGGAGTAGGTCTGGTTTTAACTAAACGTATTCCATAAATTCATCCACTGTGACTTCCAAGCTACGCTCCACACCTTAGCAAAATGAGCAATCCAGATTTTCATAATAACTGAAAGAAGCTTAGTAAGCTGTCCAACCTTAACTACTGTTTGGATTCATATCTCATATAGTTTGCTGGGCTTTCACTTCTATTTTGCCCAAACAGAGCTATTATGGTTTATAAACTACATGGCTTAATATGGGTGTGAATCCAAGTGTGGTGAAACTTATGTCTAGATATCTATGTATATAACCATTGCACAAATTAGGGGTTATAAATTGTTGCCTTCCTGTATTATGATGCTGTGGCTTTAACATTAATTAGTGATTGGGTTAATTTAACAAATGCAGAAATACTCCTCTTGGAGGGTTGGGATTTACTTTTTGGTTGGCATGCCTATTTAATTTTTAATAAAAAAGTTGATTGGGTTTTTAAATATAGCTAACAATATAGCTAACAATTGCAATTACTGCGCTGCACTCTACATTTCTCTGCCCTTGAAGACTATCTGGAAACGTCAACAGGTCCAAAATGCAGCAGTTCACACAATAATGGGGGTCCTTAGATTTGCCCATGTAACACATTTGTTGCAAAAGCTACACCGGCTGCTCATTTCTTTCTGGTTGCAATTCAAGTCCTATATCGACAGGGCCGGGTTTTTGCCGGACTACCTTTTCCTAAAGACATCTACTCATCCCACCAGATCAGATAGGATGGACATATTTCTACTCTCTTCCCCTAAATATTGCCATCTATTGGGAGCTAGGAAGTTTCCCTTTTGCCATGGCAGCCCCTGCCCTATGGAACTCTCTGCCCCCTAAAGTTTGGCAGGCCTTTACCCTGAGAAAAGATTAGACAAATACCCATTAGAAGTTTGACTTGGCACCAGGTTTTTGTTCTTTTTAATGTGTTTTATAGCTTTAATGTGGTTCTGTGTTGTTTTACGTTATGATTGAGAGCCCCCCCCCCGCCCCAAAGTTGGTTATAAGATGGTGGCTATATAAATGTTTTAAATAAATAATTTATATGACTTAGCAACACTTCGGTTTGGATGTTAAGGATCTTAAGGATTCGATTTGAAATTTTTCTACGTAAAGTATTTGTTTTAAACCGATCTACTCTTTTGATCTACTACAACTATCACCAAGACACTATCAGCAATAGTCAATCAAAAACATTATAATAGGCAAAAACTGAGCATCACATTGTATGCATAAACCTGGCTGGGTTCACATTTTGTGCTAAACCATAGTTTGATGACAAGTTTGCATAACTTCCTAAGCTGTACTTTTTTGCTGATAAACCATTATCCCACATCCCACTCAGTCAAAAATATCAACCATTATTACTTGGTATGATGTTTTATTTGGAGCACTGAGTCCTTTAAAGTTTTATAGTGGGAAGTATTTTTTTAAAAAATAGGTGGTTCTATAAACTACATCCAAAGTTTATTTTTAGCAAGGCCAAAGGGATCAGGAATAGTAAATGCTTTTGCTTACTATTCTGAAGCAGGTCCTAGTTTACAATAAATCATTCAGGAATTAATAATCTGAGCACTTATACAACAACAGTATTTATTTCTCAGCTTACTTTCTTCACTATTACATTCTGTCCTCGCTATAATAACAAATCTTGCTTGTATGAACTAAAGCCAAATACAATCTAGTCAAGGTCCTTGCACACAACTGGTGTTGAAACTGGTGATACCTTTCAACTTTGAACATCCCCTGAGCTAGGCAAAAATAAACTGAGAGATTAGAGACAGGAAAGGAAAGGAAAGGTCACCAGGAATTTTACAGTCATCCTAGGAAGGTCTAGGGCAGTGGTTCTCAACCTGTGGGTCGGGACCCCATTTTGGGTCAAACGACCATTTCACGGGGGTCGCCAAACAACGCAGTCCGCCATTTTTTCCCCTTTTCCTTAGCTGTGCTACTCCCTTTTATTCTATTGGCTTTTGAAAGCCAATAGAATAGACTCTCTTGAATAGAGTCTAATTCTATTGGCTTTCAAAAGCCAATAGGAATTGTCCAGGCTGTCTCTGCCCTGCTGAGCCCGCCAAAAGTCCCATTCTGCAAATGGTGCTGCACCACTTGAGTAGTCCTCGACTTACGACCGGTTGAGTAGTCCTTGACTTACGGGAAGACTAGAACCCAGTCTCCTAGTTTCTAGGCCATCACCTTAACTACTACCTAAAACTGGCTCTCTTTCAATAGTATGTTTTTCTTCCAATAACCAGTGGTTTTGTTTGTCTAACAGATAGCCCTCCATCTCACAAGAACAGCTACTTACTCCTCTCAATTCCAACACTTGTATATACACTTCATATTGCTCAATATCGTTTGCACAAGTAAGAAGGACAAGTATCTGCTGTCATATTCTTATAGAAGCAAAATAGCTACGGGCTTAATAAAAGATGAAATCTCCCTAGAAACCCTAAATCATTTTGACATTCTTGCAGGAAAAGTGAAACAAAAGCATAATAGGTAGGACTTCTTTTTGCCTTCCGTTCAATCTTGTCCAATTCTCAGAAACTGCCTGGGCAAGTTCTGCAGTTTTCTTGGCAAGGTTTTTCAGAAGTAGTTTAACACTGACTCCTTCCTAGGGTTTAGAGAAAGTGACTGGCCCAAGGTCACCCATTTGGCTTTGTGCCCAAGGCAAGATTAGAACTCATGGTCTCCCAGTTTCTAGCCTCATGCTTTAACTACTATGGCAAATTGGCTCTAAAAGGACTCTGCAGCACTTGATCCCAAGGGGAGACTGTGCTTAAGAAGAGATATAAATGCAGTACTATCCGCAACTCCTTGAAGCAAGCATGTCAAACTGCCAGCCCATGGGCCAGATGCATCATGCCGAAATCGTGCCCACCCCATTGCCGGCAATGGGGCAAAAGTTCCAATACGTCGTGCAACATCACGAGTTTGACATGCCTGCCTTAAAGCAACTGTGTCTTTTTCCAGGATTATGCTGCTTGTCATGTGATCCTGGCAAAAGTCACATTTCCTTTAAATCAGATATAGAGGGGTGTTTTACAACCCTGCAAACTCAGAAGCACCTTTTTGCCTTGGAATCTGTAGACTCATGGAGAGCTAAAATATAAGTTTTTTTTTTTTTTTAAGTGTGCCTTTAGGGAAAAGAGCAGGAGTGCATGTCACACAGCTCCCAAGTCCCATAAGATGACAAGACTTAAAACAGGGAAGATGGGGCATGCCCTCCCTGTGGGAGCTGTGGGGCAAACAGATGTTCTTGGGAGAAAGCAATCTCTCAAGTCACCTGATCCTATGCATGTATACAGCAATGTGCATACAGACTGAGAACCTCCATAGACATACAGCAATATACAGTATACACAGTGGGTAAAGATGCCATTATATCAGAGCTATATAGAACATAGAATAACAGAGTTGGATGTAATTTATTCCATCTATTACATATGTGACAATGGGCACGTTTTTTAGAAAACAGCAGTCAGCAGGACTAACACAACAGACTTAAGCCTCTCACTTGAGAGACCTGGAGGCCACATTCAGCTGGCAGACAAGGCTTCAATCAATCAGAACAGAGCTGGAAGGGACCTTGGAGGTCTTCTAGTCCAACCCCCTGCTCAAGCAGGAGACCCTGTACCATTTCAGACAAGTGACTGTCCCGTCTTCTCTTAAAAACCTCCAGGGATGATGAAACTTGCATCAATCTGATATATTTTCGGGAGGGGGGAGGGGTGTCTTTGACAGTCACACCAACCCACTTTCCAGTCCAGCTGCAGCTGCCACACAGGTGCCCTCACACCTGTACCCCCCCAAGCCCTCCCCCCCTCCCTCCCACTCCACGTCCATCCTCCTCTCCTTCCCCTCCCCAACCTGAGGTGAGGAGAGGGGGGGCTGCAGGAAGGCAAGGGGGCCTCTCACCAGGTAAAGGGTCCCATAGATGCGGAGCGACTCTCCAAACGCCCCTTGGGTGATGTGCACGAAGGCTCGCCCGCAATGGGGGTGCCAAGTGTGCCCGATCTCGTAGCAGTTGTGGGGGATGGACTTGCTCAGCGCCGCCATCTTAGCCCAGCGGCTGGAGCCGGAGGAGGGGGGGGGCGTGCGCGCGCCCGAGGCAGAAGTACACGAGACGAAGACGACGGCGCGAGCGAGGGAGCGAGCGCGCGCCAAGTTGAGGACGACTGCGGGCCGCCCGGGGTTACTCTCGATCAACCACCCTCTTTTTCCCTCCGCCCCTTTGCTTTGCCGGCTCGCGTGAGCCCGCTCAGCCAATCCGGGGCTGGCTCTCGCCCAGCCGGTGGAAGGGGGGGTGAGGAGAGGGGAAAAAAAAAAAAAAAGGAGCTGGCGCGAGCGCTCCCAACGCCGGCCCCGTTGCCCCGCCCCCCCGGGGCGCCTCTGCTGTTTTGCACGTGGATGCGGTTTTGCAAAAACCGCTGCGGTGGTCGGCGGGGTGTGGGGTGCATTGTCGGGGGAACCCGGGGACGGCTGCGGTGGCAGCGGCAGCAGCAGCAAACCCGGAGAACATGCCGCAAAAAAAAAAAAGGCATCGCGGGGGGGGGGAAGCTTGACCTTGCACCGGGTTCTGTTCGAAATAAACGTGGGAATGAGGGGGAGGGGCTGGGAGGAAATGATAGGATGCCTATAAGGAGCCATAATCGTAAAAAGAATAAGAATGCAATAAGCACGGGCGATAAGGTTTGGAGTCCTTGGTGCTCTCTGAACTTGGTTGCTTTCGTTACCCCAACTGGATAGCATCTTCACTAGTAGCACTGATGATGTTACCTAGTTGGGTAATGAAACGTCTGCAAGAAACAACCTAGCTCAGAGCATCAAAGACCTACAGTTGTCCTCTTTCTCCACTGCAAACCCCACTTCCTTTTACTATTGATATTACCTAGCTGGGTAATGAAACAGCCAGGCTCAGAGAGCACCAAGGATTCTGAGCTACAAATAGTCTCCTTTATTGGTACAACTGGTAAAATGAGGTAGCAAATTTGTTCCCCACCCCCGCCTGTTGGGAAATTCACCATTTCCCTTCATGAAAGAGGGGCAACTTTATTTGGAATAATACACCTCAAAGGGAAAGTTTCCTGACTTCATAGCTGGGGGGGGGGGGGAGTGGAGAGATTCAGCCAGTTCGCATCAGTTCAGCTAATGTTTTGTTGCCCAGGCCCAGAATGGACTTCTGGAAGCAGCATCCACACAGAGAACGAGTTGTTCACATGTTTGAATCCCACCACTGGGTGGGGGGCAATTTGCAATGTGGGTGTTTCATCGCTGGAGATTTTTAAGAAGAGACTGGACAGACACTTGTCAGAAATGTTAGGATCTTCTGCTTGAGCGGGGGGGGGGGGGAACAGACTAGAAGACCTCTAAGGTGCCTTCCAGCTCTATTCTGAATTCAGGGTCCTTGTTGCTCTTAATGCATAGTGTGCAGCAGTTATAGCCAGCACACAATAGAGCCTCAATGACCCGTATTGGGTGAAAGCATTAAGCCTCCAGTGCTGTGTTATCTTTGTCCTCATCCTCCCGTATCCTGACCTTGGAAAAATCAAAGGAAATAAAAAAAAGATTATAACAAAAATATTATATATGTATGTATGTAAGTATATGTGTGTATTTATATGTATATATATATATATGTATATGTATAATATATAAAACTCAAGACAGATGGCCCAAAGTCACCCACTTTCACCAATAGACGAAACTTAATGGGTTAAGAATTTCTATCCTGCTCTGTCCGCTTTTATTTTTATTTTACTTTATTTTATTTTAAAGGTTTACATGATAGCCCATTCACTCAGTGACTCTGGGTTGTTTACAAAGCAGTTAACAGAATAACAGTTGGAAGGGCCCTCGGAGGTCTTCTAGTCCAACCCCCCTGTTCAAGCAGGAGATCTTATACCATTTCAAACAAATGGTTGTCCAATCTCTTCTTTAAAAACTCCAGTATTGGAGCATCCCATAAAGTCTGGAGGCAAGTCGTTCCACTGATTAACTGGGAAAGCCAAGGGAAATCATCAAAACAATTAAAAAATGAAAATTAGAATATCTCGGACATGTGATGCGACACCCAGAAAAATACGGCATACTCCATTTAATCCTCCAGGGAAAGATTGAAGGCAAACGAGGTCCAGGCAGAAGAAGAACATCGTGGCTTCAAAATCTAAGGGACTGGTTTGGACAAAACTCAGCAGCACTTTTTTGTGCGGCTGCTGATAAAACAGGATCACCAACATGATCGCCAATGTCCGATAACGGATATGGCACAAAAAGAAGAAAAAACTCAGGAGGTTTCTCCTCAGTTCTAGGTTGCTTGTCTCCTTGCTGAGTTTTCCATCCATTGCTTCTTGTCCTGCCTTCAGGTGCTTTGGAGAATAGCTTGACTCCCTCTTCTTTGGGGCAGCCCCTGAGATAATTGGAACACTGCTATCATGTCCCCCCCTCATCCTTCATTAAACTAGATATATCCAATTCCTGCAACCGTTCTTCATATGTTTTAACCTTCAGTAACCCAAAGTCTAACAGATAACATTAACAGGTGCTGGCCTAAAAACAAGGAAACTGAGTTCTAATCCTGTCTTAGGCATGAAAGCCAGCTGGGTGACTTTGGACCAGTCACATTCTCTCAGTGCAGCCCACTTCACAGGGTTGTTCTTGTGAAGAAAATAGGAGGAGGAAAGTGTCTTACGTATGTTCATTGCCCTGAAGCTTCAAAAGGTGGGATAAAAATATAATAATGATGAATTAATTACAATTAGTCCTCGACTTAACAGCCATTCATTTAGTGACCGGATGCATGGAAAAAAGTGACGTGACCATTTTTCACACAATCATTCCAGCATCCCCATGGTTGGGGGTAGGCAAACTTGGCTGTTTTATGACGCGTGGACTTCAACTCCCAGAATTCCTGAGCCAGCATGGCCCAGCTTGGAAACCTCTCCCTTTCCCCTCAGCATGGCTGGCTCAGGAATTCTGGGAGTTGAAGTCCACGAGTCATAAAAGAGCCAAGGATGCCTACCCCTGCCCATGGTCATGTGATCAAAATTCGGATGCTTGGCAACTAGCATGTATTTAGGAGGGTTGCAGTGACCCAGAGTCATGTGATCCCTTTTTGCAACCTTGGGAAGCACGATTCACTTAACAACCGTGTTACTAACTCAACAACTGAAGTGATTCACTTCACAGTTGTAACAAGAAAGGTAAAATGGGGCAAAATTTGCTTAACGTCTCTCTTCATTTCTCAATAGAAATTTTGGGTTCAGTTGTGGTCATCAGTCAAGGATTATCTAACATTATTTTAAGGTATTGTGATCTGGCTGCTCACAATTCTTTCTAACCATTTTTCACACCCTCTGGAACCTTTCTGGGTTGTGAATCACGGACTGGGGAATGTGAAATGTGTAAGTAGAGCCATCCAGAATGTTCCATGTTGGGGAAAGGTAGCAAATTAAAATATGGTGAGAGCAGATTTATTTTTCAAGCAACCTGTTCTTAATCACTGCACCATGATATGATTTATGTCTCTCTGTTGACTTTGGCAACATCCTGGACAGGTTCCTGCAGTTTTCCTGGGAAGAATTTTTAATACAAAACAAGCAGTCCTCGACTTACGACCACAATTGAGCCTAATTTTTTTGTTGCTAACCAAGACAGTTGTTAAGCGAGTTTTGCCCCGTTTTATGACCTTTCTTGCCACAACTGTGAAGTGAATCCCTGCAGATGTTAAGGTAGTAACATGGTTGTAAAGTCAATCTGGCTTCCCCCACTGATTTTGCTTGTCAGAAGATCACAAAAGGTGATCACATGACCCCGAGACACTGCAACTGTCATAAATATGGGCCGGTTGCCAAGCGTCCAAATTTTGACCACGTGACCACGGGGATGCTGCAATGATCATAACTGTGACATATGGTCATAAATCAATTTGCAATGCTGTTGTAACTTTAAACAGTCATTAAACAAATGATTGTTAAGTCAAGGGCTACCTGTGTAATAGTGCAGAGGTCCCCAATCACTGGTCCGTGGACCAGTACTTGCCCACAGCATGCCAGCAACCGCTCCGCACAAACAAGCAAGGTCCCATCCTCAAGATGCAGGCAGCACACAAAACCACGCACCCTCTGGTCCGTGGAAAAACCTCTCTCCACGGAATCAGTCCCTGGTGACCAAAAGGTTGGGGATCTCTGTAATACTGGACTAAGAGCATTTAGAACAACTGAAACAAGGTTTTTAAATGCTCACATTAGTGGCTCCAGTTACCCTCTTGATTGAACTGGGTAAACTTAGTAACATCTTTTTCACACTGGTGCAAGTTATGTGGGCAATTTTATTACTGAGATAAATCAAACTTCTAAATGTTGCTGCTCCTTAAGGTGACCATGCTGTGGTATAGGCCAGTGATGGCGAACCTATGGCACGCGTGCCAGAGGCAGCACTCAGAGCCCTCTCTGTGGGCATGCGCGCCATGCCCCAGAGATGGCAACCGTCCCTCTTCAACCAGCCACCCGCTAACTCACCAAGGTCCCACATGGCTGGATGCATCCCAGCACCCATGTGCTCGCTGGCCTCTGCAGGGGCCGATGGTGTCAGGCAGCAGCTGTCCTGGCTCCTGCCTCACCTTGCCCTGTGACAGTGGCACCCCCGCCCTGCCTTGCCTTGCCTCTTCCCGTAGGACGAGCCTCCTGCCCACCGCCCCACCTGCCAGAGACCCCCTGGATCTCCCCCAACCCTGCCCGGGCTCCACAGGCATCCCTCCCCACGAGCAACATTGAGGTGATCACGCCCACCTTGGCCACACCCACCCAGTCTGCCATGACCACCACAGCCATGCCCACCCAGTGGGCCACGCCCACCTGGCACCCGGCGATAAATAAGTGGGTTTTAGGTTGCAGTTTGGCCACTCGGTCTCTCATCACTGGTATAGGTAGTCCTGCATTTAAGTGAGCTTTGCCCCATTTTACGACCTTCCTTGCCACAGTTGTTAAGTGAATCAATGCGGTTCTTAAGTTAATCACACGGATGTTAAGTGAATCCGGCTTCTCCGTGGACTTTGCTTGTCAGAAGGTCACAAAAGGGGATTACATGACTCCAGGACACCGCAACCGTCATAAATATGAGTCGGCCAAATGTTCATTTTTTTTCAA